GCTTTACCGCATTCACTAATCTGTGGAAACAATTAATGCAACTGCACTTGCAAAGTGCACAGTCTCTTTACCTTTAGTAAATCAAGCCCAATACGTGATGATCTCTGATCACTCTGCACTCTTCTCATGTCTGCATGATCCCAGTTCATCTACATACAGTAGAGCGTCATTACCTTCTAGCTTGCCAGGATGGAGTAGTGCTGTAAAGAGGATGACAGTAGATGAATTAAAAAGTCAGATTTTGTTACTTATGCTATTTATGCGTTGAATAAATATTTTTAAAGGTGTATCCAAATCATGACCCTTCATATGATTGTTTATATCATTGTACAGCTCCGTATCTTTGACTATTTCTTCAGTGACTGTTATATATATATATTTTGCTCAGGAGCTTAAATAGCACAGAGTGTGATGGAGGCTGCACCCCACTTCATCTGGCCTGCAGGAAGGGTGATGTTGAGTGCATTCAGGAGCTAGTAGAAGACTGTCAGGCTCGGCAGGACATAGCCGACTTTAATGGAGAAACCGTGTTCCACTATGCAGCTCGTCAGAATAACCCTCATGTTATTGAGGTTAGTACATTTGTGCTGCATTTTGAAAACCTTTATGTTACAGTTTTACTTTTGGTATGTTTTACAGTGCTATTTATGTGGTCTCTAATTATATCTAAACCCTGAGGCTGAATTAATCATTTTTGCCTGATGTGCTTTCTATTTAAATCTATGGGGATGCATCAAAATGTATATCAAGGCACACTGTAATGCACTTTATGTTGCACTACAACACAAGACACCAAGTATCTCTTCAAGCCCTTTTCAGCCATGCTTCCAACACTGGCTGTGTGTCATTCATTGTTCACGGCAGGCTTTCTGATGGTGAGTTAATGGAACATGCCTCTGTAGTGCGTATTGGCAAAGCTGCTTTTATAGTCTCCCTTTAGGAACATGTGACAGGATAAAAAAAGCAGAAGTACATTTGGGAGACACTTAATAGCAGGAAGTGCACAAACCTTCCTCATAGGATTATCACCAGATATTATTTTAATTATTTTATATTAACATCTTAAAGCTAGATTTTAGTGATTTGGCTTTATTTTTACTTTTAATATCCTTAAAAATCACCTGTGTCCGTTCCTGAACATATTTGTAAAAATCTCATGCCTGTCCATGCTTTATGTCTTCTTATCTCTTCTCATGTTCTGCATTTAACCTGTTTTCCACACACAGATCTTGTGCTGTACGCCAACTATTGGAATTAACCATCTGAGTAACAGCAAAGAGACTCCACTGCACGTGGCCTGCCGAATGGGCAAATCTGAATCAGTACTGGCATTGCTGCGTTGCCATGCTCATTGTGATATTGTTGGAAAGGATGGATACCCAATTCATACAACCATGAAATATGCAATGAAAGGGTAAGTTAATTATGTATAACAAGACAGCAGTCAAACTAAAAGTTCTGAATTATCTTTAAAAGAGAAGTTTAGCCAAATCCTTTTAGCTATACTGCTCCTGTGGAACACAGGAATGCACAACTTTACAGTCCGCAGTCACCCAAATACCTGGACCAGCAGCTGGTTCAGCCATGGAACTGCACCACTGAAAGACTGAGCCAGTGTCTCCCTCCCCTCCACAGCCCAGTGCTCCAGTGAGCGCTGAAGGGACAGAGTAGAGAGCCAGCGACTGACAGTCATACGGAGGGGAAAATAATTATTTGCTCCCCTGCAGATTTTGCCCACTTGATATGAAGGGTCTATAATTTTTATCATAGTTGTATTTTAAATGATAGAGACAGAAAATCAACCAAAAATCCAGAAAAAACACACATGATACAAATGTTATAGATTAAGTTGAAGTTCAGTGAGTAAAATAAGTATTTGATCCACAAGCAAAACATGACTTAGTACTTAGTGGAGAAACCCTTGTAAACAAGTACAGAGGTAAGATGTTTCTTGTAGTTGGTTACCAGGTTTGCACACATCATCTCAGGAGGGATTTTGGTCCATTCTTCTTTACAGATCTTCTCTAAATCCTTAAGGTTTCTTGGCTGTTGCTTGGCAACTCAAAGTTTCAGCTCTCCCCATAAATTTTCTATAGGATTAAGGTCTGGAGACTGGCTTGACCACTCCATGACCTTACTGTGCTGCTTCTTGAGCTAGTCTTTTGCCTCGGCGGTATATTTGGGACATTGTCATGCTGGAAGATCAATCCATGACCATTTTCAGTGTTCTGGCTGAGGGAAGAAGGTCCTCATCCAAACGTTTACAATACATGGCCCCGTCCATTGGTCCCTCAATGTGGCAAAGTCAGCCTATACCTTTAGCAGAGAAACCGCCCCAAAGCATAATGTTTCCACCTCCGTGCTTGACTGTAAAGATGGTGTTCTTAGGGTCATAGTCTTCATTTTTCTTCCTCCAAACACGGCGAGTTGAGTTAATGCCAAAGAGCTCAATTTTGGTCTCATCTAACTACAGCACTTTCTCCCAATCCTTCTCTGAATCATTTGAATGTTCATTGGCAAACTTCAGATGGGCCTATACATGTGCCTTCTTGAGGAGGGGGACCATGCGGGCACTGCAGGATTTCAATCTATGGCAGCATATTGTGTTATCAATGATTTGTTTGGTGACTGTGGTCCCAACTGCCTTCAGATCATTCACAAGCTCCTCCCATGTAGTTCTGGGCTGATCCCTCATTTTACTCATGATCATCCTTACCCCATGAGGCGAAATCTTGTATAGAGCTCCAGACTGAGGGAGATTGATAGTTATTTTGTATTTCTTCCATTTGCGAATTATTACTCCAACAGTTGTCTCCTTCTCACCAAGCTCCTTGCTGATGGTCTTATAGCCCATTCCATCCTTGTGCAGGTCTGCAATTTTGTCCCTTACCCATAGTGGTGAGAGATTCTGTGGACAGGTGCCTTTTATACACATAACACGTTGCCATTAGGAGCACCTTCTTAAATTGACAGAACTAATCTGTGTACCACATGAGCATATAGCCAGTCTGTGGGAGCCAGAATTATTGTTGGTTGGTAGGGGATCAAATACTTATTTTACGAGCCAAACTGCAACTCCACGTATAACATTTATATCGTGTTTTTTCTGGATTTTTGGTTGATATTCCATCTCTATCATTTAAAATACCTATGATAAAAATTATAGACCCTTAATTTCATCGTAAGTGGGCAAACTTACAAAATCTGCAGGGGATCTGCATCGTAAGTGGGCAAACTTACAAAATCTGTAGGGGATCAATTGAGCAATTGGCGTTCTTTGATCACTCAGTTCTCAGTGCAGAGGCAGCAGAGGCCAGATGCAGCATTAGATTAATGCTGTATCCGCCTAGCTGAGTATACGTTTTTTTTTTTTGGGTTTTTTTTGTAAACCCTGAACTTCTATTTTAATAGCCTATTTAAAGTAGTATTAATCACACAGTTTAATTTACATTGTCCTTCTCTTTATTTGGAAGATGGCACTGTATTTATTTTCATAGAGGCTCCATTCACACTTGTGCGACTTGTCATGTGACTTTGGACGCATAAAGTTGCATGACAAGTCAAGCCCATTGTTTTCAATGGCACCCATTCGGATCTATGCGTCTTAAAGTCACAGTTCGTTGGAAAAGGTTCCTGCTCTAATTTGATTTTTGACTGGTAGTGTAGTCAGTGTTGACGTCTTGCAGATCAAATGTTGGAGCACTGGAAATAATCTTGCAAAGCTGTCGCACAAGCCTGTGAATGGAGGAAGAGCCTATCTGCTGCCAGGCACATGAAAGGAGGGAGGGCATTATGGGCTGTCATTTATTATTTTTATGTTATTATTTTTGTGCAAAAACATGGAGTGTACATATGCCCACCTGTATGTTTGTGACTCCTATCAATAAACAGTCATGTTTAGCTAGCTGCAAGGAGGGAGGGCAATTATCTGAAAATGTGTGACTCTATAGTCATGGAGCTGCAGAGAAAAGAAAAAGGAGGAAATGAATAGCTTAGAAGGGAACTGAAACTGGAGCATGTTTAGTAGATACCAACAGCTGATCTACACACTCTTAGGCTGCTTCAGGTACACAGAGAAGGATGGAAGGACAATGAACAGCAGGATCAACCAGGTTTTTTTGCAGAATACAGAAAACGAATCCCATAGTGACTGAGTATGAACAGTATGTAATATATCATATACTGACAGTTTTTAATTATGTGGGTTTAATGATACTTTAGCAATGACATTTTATCACAAAAGTGTTATTATTCTTTAAAGTGGGAGTAAACGTCCAATGGACATTTGTTCCTACGGGTATGCTTAAAATAAAGTTTACCTGCAGGTACAAGGAATAGCTCCTAAACCTGCACCGTTGAGGAGACATTCATTATCCCTGCAACTGGTGACGTTGCCGACGCATGTGCTCTGAAGGAAGGGCATATCTGTGCTGTTCCTTTAGAGTTCTGTGCTGCGGCCGAAACTCCCACATGCATGCACGGGAATGACATCATTATGGCTCGGCCAATCAACCAGCCAAACCCAGAAGGAAGACTGGGCGAAGAAGGAAACCCTCTGAGCATGCAATGCATACTAGCACATTTTGACATTACATTGCAGGGAGAATATTTACTACCACATTAAGTTGCTCATACATAAATGCCAGCTCTAAAACCATAATTTCAATACATCACATGCTTTTTTAAGGTGTCTGAAAGCATGCACAAAATCAGGTGCATAGAGGGGAAGGATGAAAAAAAAAAAGACATACAGTATTCCCAGTTTTTTTTTTTAGATATGTGATCTGCCAATCTTTGACAGCCAATCATAAGCTAGTCTTAGAAGTGGGCACATGTTAACCACTTGTGACCTCTGATCATTCACAGATTTCACACGTAAGCAATGATGTCAGCTTACTACTCTTCATGTGATCACTGATTGGCCAATCAGTGATTACATGATCGGGACCTCACACAGGAGGTCCCATACAGCGATCAGTGTTCCACTGTGTCCGGAGGACACGGCCACCCGACCCTGCACTGCTCCTGTCCGGCCGTTTATATACATGGGCCGGACAGGAGCAGTGCAGGGGCGGGTGGCTGTGTCCTCTGGGACACAGTGGAACACTGATCGCTGTATGGGACCTCCTGTGTGAGGTCCCGATCATGTAATCACTGACATCATTGCTTACTACGTCTAAAATCTGTGAATGATCACAGAGGTCACATGGTACAAGGCTATTCACAACAGCCTTGTACCATGTGACAAGCTGTGACCAATCACAGCTCACACAGTATTTCTCAATGGCTGCAAGAATGCAGCTAGAGAGGAGAAATGATTGCTTTTACAGCCTTTATGGGTGTAAAAGCAATCCGTGTGTAAAAAAAAAAAAAAAAAAATAACCCCCCCACAAGTAGTACAGTGTTCACTATGGTGACACTGTACTGCTAGGTTGACAGTATGTAAAAAAACAAAAGCATAAATAATAATATAAAATAAATGTAAAAAAAAAAATTGAAAAATTAAAATTTTTGGATCTAAACTAATTTGGGATTTTTTTTTTGGTAAAAATATAACTGAATACATTTTGGCCAATATTTATGAAGACTGATTATTTATTTGCAAGAAAAACACTTTTTTTTTCAAAATAGTTTAAAATTTTTCATTTATATAGCAAAAAAAATTAAAATCCCAGGGTGAATAAATACCACCAAAACAAAGTTTTATCTGTCTCAAGAAAATGCTAAAAAAATTCATATGGGTACAGTGTTGCATGACCGCGCAATTGTCATTCAAAGTTTGATAGTGCTGAAAGCTGAAAGTTGGCCTGGACAGGAAGGGGGGTAAAAGTGTCCGGACATGAAGTGGTTAAATTGTATGTAAAGATTAAGCTCACTTTCTGCCCTAGAGCAAGAACAAAACTCAGAAAAGTAACCAGGAGAAATCTCCTGTTTGTCAAAGGGACAGGTGCCCTTATTGGAGGATTTCCCCTCCCCTCCTTTTCTGTGACAGCTCTAAACCATTATTATTTACATCGTCTTCTGTATTCAAGACAAATTGATAGCACATCTGTCCAGCAAGGACATATACAGCAGTAAACCCCTGATAGGGGTTTATTATTTCATCAATCTATCCAAAACTAAAATAAAATTTACATTGACTTGAAATAATGCTGGCTTTTTGAGGCAACTACAGGGGGTTAATGTACTAAAGACAAATAGACGCTGTGCTTTGCTAGTGTAGTTGCACTCTTTTTCCCCAGAGCTTAGTGAATGTGGTGAAGCTTCACTTTGTAAAGACTACCTGATCAGGTGCAAGGAAAAAAGAAAAAAAAACAAAACGGCATTTTTGCTTGCACATGATTGGATGATGGAAATCAGCAGATCTTCACCATATACAATTATATTCTGTATGTTCCCCATGCTTCCAGCTTTTACAGTGGTGAACAGAAAGCATCTGCTAAGGAACCTGCAGAATCTGACATTTCTGGGAGTATTGGATTCCTGATCCCCTGAAACACTCGGTGTTTTGATGCACTGGCTCATTTGACACTACTCTATCCTGTAGTGATGTACTGTAGAAGTTGGCAGGAGGAACCACAGTGTGCATTGTGGGACCAGAAATTTGACTCTTGATCTTGCAGGATCTTTGGCAGGATGTCTCTTCACTACTGCAGAAACACAACTACTGAGTAATATCACGTGTGTGTCTGTGTGTTTTGTAGTTGTGTATGTCTCAAAGTAATATATCCCAGAAAGAAAAAATGATTTGTCGTAGCATACAGAAATAAGGAAACAAATTACCTGTATATACTAAAGGTGGCCACCTAATTTTTTTGATCTGGCTAAAAAGCATAAAAATACTTAGCTATCATCTATCGTCATGAAGAATGACAAATATCCTGTTATCTAAACCTCAATGTGGGCTGAAGCATCAATAATGAAAACTGTGGGACCCTTCAGACTACAAATATATAAAAATCCAAATAACAATCTTTAATAAGAACCACACTAATATTATTTGTAAGAAAGCTGCAAACGCTAAAAGAAATTTGGGCTGTACACCTGGCAGCAGAGTGGTGGGTCTTCACAGAGAAAATCCAGTAATAAACTTAAAGTGGTTGTAAAGGCTCAGTTTTTTACCTTCATGGATTCTAAGCATGAAGGTAAAAAAACCTTCTGTGTGCAGCAGTGCCCCCTCAGTACTTACCTGAGCTCCATCGTGATCCAGCAATGTGTACGGCAGCCTTGGCTGAGCCCGGTCTCTGTCTCCTCATTGGCTGATACAGCAAGCTGGTGCCATTGGCTCCTGCTGCTGTCAGTCACGGCCAGTCAGCCAATGTGGAGAGAGAGGGGGCGGAGCCAAGCCACAGCTCCGTGTGTGAATGGACACATGGAGCAGTGGCTCGGGAACATGCCTGCTCGGGTGCTTCTATAGCAACCTGCATGCTATGGAGGCACCCAACAGAAAGGAGGAGACCGGAGTGCCGGCAGGGGACCAAAGAAGAGGAGGATTTTGGCTGCTCTGTGAAAAACCCCTACACAGAGCAGGTAAGTATAACATGTTTGCTATTTAAAAAAAAAAAAAAATTACCTTTTTATTTTGCTTTAATTACTCTCCATGTAAAAAAAATAAATAAATTAGAGAATATCTGTTTGTATGGAGTAGATAATGCATCAGGATTTTTTTTTTTAATCTGTAAACTCTTTATTGCAAAATAGAAGAAAATAAAATCCAGAGTAGGCAATAAAGTTTGTTGTAAACATTCACATATACCCAGTGAAATTACCAGCCTCAGGTGATGCATAGAGATGAAACAAATCCTCATATATATATATATATATATATATATATATATATATATATATATATATATATATATATATTATATATATAAGTTGTACCTGTTTATCTGCCCCTCTCCAAGTTTATTCAAAGTCTAGAATTTATACAGCTTGTCTGAGCTTCCTGAAAGCAGGGGGCGGGGAGTTGAAGTTACACTCTGCAGAGCTCAGTGGGAGCTGATTGGAGGGAAAGGACACCCTCCTCCCTTCACACAGGAACAGAGCAGAGGCTGTCAATCACAGGCTGTGTGCTGGAGTTACCTCCCTGTCACCTTTTTACCTCTTGATGTCCCAAACACATGTCAGAAGTGACTCATGCAGATAGCAGAGGAATGAGGCAGCAGAGAGAAATGACACATAGTTCTCTAGATTGAGAAAAGTACACTGTAGAAGGATATGCTTTGCTCATATTTCATGTCTGAGGTTTACAACAACTTAAGCCAGCAACAGTAGTATAGCAATACCCAGTATTCAGTATGGAGAGAATGCAATGCTCAGTTGTCTATCTAATAAACAAACTATAGCATTAATAAGAGGTACAGCAAAGACTGGGTACAGTAGTGTCTACTCAAGTGGGACAATTTATCATTTTGTAGTAGAGTTAAACATGTATGTCATTACAGGAAACTATGTAGTACAAGGTCAATTGGAGAAAGACCAGGGGTATTTAGCCACCCATCCCACATCATCTCAAATTTACTGGGGCAACCATGATAAATAAGATAAAGCGTTCATAGCGTAGTGTGGTACCCACATGATGTATTCATTCATTGGGGGTTGGGGGATTCTCAGATTTCCAGTGTTGTAGAATAAGGGCTTGGAATAGTGCCCTAGAAATAGCCTCCCTTTTATGCGTGGGACCACATCATCTAATATTCCTAAAATACATTGCTTTTTGTGTAATTTAACGGGAGTTTAAAAGCTCTGTTTATGGTATGTACCACTAAAGCCCAGTATATATGCAGCTTGGGGCAGCGCCAAATCATGTGAATTAAATCCCCAAAGTGATTGTGGTCATGCAGACCATATTGAGATTGCAAAGTAGAAAAGCAAATAAGTTTGCCCCTATCGAATATATGGTTTAAATGGGTAATCCTATACGCCTGCCATTTTATTACATATCGAAGTATAGCTTGTTCTGGGTAAGTGGCTTTCAACCATATAGGTCTATCTACAGTATAGCCCACTACCCATTGCATTTGTGCAGATTTGGCCCAAGTCTTATGCATGAGTTTATATGCAAGTAGTGTTTTATTAGGTTTAGAAAAGTGTTGGGACTCCAAGCTAGCAGAGTGAAATACTGAATAACAGCTAGGGTAGAGTCCTCTGACACAGACCCCCTACTACGTGCTGCAATTGAGCCGCTTTGTAACATAAACAGGGTTTTGGGATTGCTATGCTTAATCAACCCCCCCCCCCCCCAGCTTTTGGCCGTTGAAGATGCTCAAGCTTGATCCTAGGCAGATGGTGCCTCCCTAAAAGTGACCTAAAAATGGTATTGACTGCAGAACATTTTCAGTGGAATTACTACAGGAGTATTATACAGGAAATACAGCAGTTGGGGCATAATGATCATTTTTTATAGTATTAGTCCTGGCAATCAGAGGCAACCATTATTTGATCCAAAGGTTAACTTTTGTCTTGAAAACTTGAGAAGAGGGGTATGATATTAAAGTGTTACTAAACCCACAACAGTAAAATCAGTCTGTATATGCAGTAAAGCATGCTTGTTATACTCACTGTGGAACCTAAGGGATTAATCTTCTGCATTGTGTAAAAATGTTGTTTTTGATCATTTCTTCTGTGCGCCTCCTCTTGTTAAAATGACAACCTGATACTGAATCCGTAGTTCCCCCCCCCCCCCTTATCTCCAGTGTCCCCCCTTATCTCCTTATAAGACATATCATGTGGAGTCATTCTACACTTTCTCAGTTTGGTGTGTATTGCTAGAGAGGGGTTTTTTTTGGAAGGGGGGGAGAATGCATGTGTTCAGTTTAGGGCCAATCAGCACTGTCCAGACAGAGGTCAGAGGTTCTGTATCCTCCTAGAGCAAAATGAAAACTCCTCCTACAAGCTTTAACCAGTGCTCAGCTGGACACTGATTGAAGTCACAAGACTGCTGTAGCTGCTGATGAGAAAAGGTATTTTAGCAGTTTAGATTTACTAAAATGATTGCATTTCCATGTTGTGTGTTTTTGGTGGGAGACCAGATATAGTGAATGGTGATATTAGCAGGCATTAGGAAATGTTGACTGAATTCTTGGTAAACAACAAATAACATACTTGTTAAAACATATTATTTCTCTGAAGATGTGCAGAAGCAATTCTGGACTTTACATCCACCCAGGCCCATACTGAAGATCTCGATATGGGGCAACTCCACTTCATTGGTCAAAAAACGCTGAGGTAGAGTATCTATGTCCAAGGGCTCCCATAATTCTTATACGTCTGA